GATAATAGTGCGGTTTCATTGGAAACCATTTCAGTGATAGTAGACATTAAATCACAAAGTGTACAATTTCAACGTCTTGACCCTGCAGTCTACATACCTCCGCAAACTGTGGTAAGCGTAGACTCGGAGATAAGACCTCTGTTACTCGATCCAGGAGAAATGCGAGTGTCAGCTGATGTCCAAGCAGCCGAGACTACAGTTCATCGACATGCCTCACCTGATTCATCTTCGGGATTGAGTGGAAAAGCCTCACCGCCATCAACCATTACGACAATCAATTTTGGAATACGTGAAAAATTAGTGAAGTGTGAGTCTGCCCTCCAAGAGATGGACAAAATGGATAAAACCAATGCAGACAACGATATAAATTCATCGAAAGTGAACGGTACAAATGTGCAATTTTGGAAGAAACTACAACAGCCACTGAAATCAGACTTTTTAAGAAGTGCAGCGCTCGAAAGTGCAGTGAGCGAAAGGTACGTGGCGATAAGACCTCTGTCACTTGATCCATGGGGATTATTATCACCAGCTGGCCTGAGTGCCATCAAAACACCTATAAATCAAGGTCTCCGGGAGATGCGACGTCGGTCATTTGATCCAGGGGGGACCATTGTCATCAGCTGACCGATAAGCAGCCAACAACAGCTGAAAAACATCCTCTAGATGACTCCTAGCGAAGCTGGCACGAGGAAACGAGACAACGAGTGGTTCGAAGAGACGAACCCGAAAACACTGGAAGTCCTCTCCACTATCAATTACTCAGGAGAGTAATTTTGGTCTTAGTGGGGGAGGGATACTCTTAGAGAGAGATAAGTATAGGACACATTCCTCAACATTGTCTCATCGCTATCGGTAAGATACCAAAGTACTAATAATTGCGCGCGGGAGAATTTGAGCATGAGTCTTACGAGACATTCTCATAAACAAAAAAAAATTTTTTTTCATGACGATAGTGTGATAATTGTTATCATTTCAAATCAATTTAGTTGACACAGAAGTTACTCAAAAAGCTTGTAGAAAAAAAAAGAAGCAAAACAAAAATATTAATTTTCCGTCCGGAGATTTCAGTTTATTACCTTGCAGAATATGAACATGTTGCATTGTAGAAAACTCATATTGATTCAATCATGACTCTTGACGAAGTAAATAATCAATTGCGATTCAAAAACATATGAATTTATATCCAGTTTAATGTACGCAGGGCATACACAAAAAAAAAAGAAGGACTTGACTATTTATCAGTCTCAGACAGACACTTATTTTGGAATTAGCGAGGTGCATTCAAATATTATCGAAAAAAACAAATTTTGGAATTTAAATTATACGTTCTACTTGTGAGAAAAATGACAGAGAAAACAAAAATGAATCACGAAAGAAATACAATAAGGATTGTCACCCAATGTGAGGTACAAAAATTTAAAAAAATTATGTATGACAAATGTTTGTAAGGGTTCGGTCGGGAAGCACCAGAGTACGTCAGAGTACGATCAGGAGCGAAACATCGCGGATCTCTGAGCTCAGGCATTCAGCCAACCAATAACAAAGTCGAGTCAAGGTCCCAAAGTCGAGTCAAGAACCGCGTTATACCGACCCATTAAACACTACCGTGTATAAATTAAAGTCAATATATAGTTATTTTAGCAACATCAGTACGGTCGGTTTAATATCGTTAACCCTCCCTCTATCCTTCACTTATCCCTCCGATTGAGCGAACCACCCGTGAGCTCACCGAGACTAGCCGAGGTCGGAGTGAAACAAGAGTTAAAAAGGAATAAATTAACTCATTACGTCACACCGAACGAAATTGAAAAGCAGACGTCGGTAAAATAAAATTATCTTTGATTCATCGCAGAATGAACTGAAAGGTTCCAATGCATATCAATAAAATCATCTTTGATTGACGAAAAGATCCATCAAGTGAATTTTTGGTCGTCATTTCCCATTTTCACCTTCAAAAGTTTTCTTGAATCATAATTTTCATCCAATTCAGGTTTTTTTTCTATGTTCGTCAGACTTCAAAGAATAAAATTGAGTATTCGTTTTTTATTGCATTGAATGGATTAAGAAAAAATGAATTTTTGAGATTTAGTCTGTCTGAGTGCATTGAAAGGAACATTTTTTTCATGGGTTATTATACATAGTTTCTGACGTAAGATGGGTACTTAATTTCATTTTCTAGAGTCTAACGAAAATTGTGGAATACGAAAATCTACATCAGACGGAAATTGTGCATTGAAAGAAGTATTGCCAAGGGAATTTTCAAAGACTTTCCAATTTTAGGGAGGTCTCCCCTTAATAGGTGGTCGCTCTGTCAACTTTTTAACTAAAATACGTACAGAGAAAAATTTGTCTAGAAAATTAGGATGCTAACATCTCTCTAGCAGACCAGGTGGGAACTCTCAGTGTTTTTGCAGTTTGTATATTGCTGGAAATGAGTATTTTTCAAATATTTCCACCATTTTGGTATGCAAGAATGCCTTTGAAAAGTAGAATGCTGAATTTATAATCTTCTATAAAAAAACAGCAAAAACACTGGGTTCCCAGTTTCATCCCACAGGAAGATGTTAACATCTCACGTTTTTAAGTAAATTTGAAACCAAATTCCAGGACAATGTTTTTTGTGAACAGAAGAATTCTTAAGAATGTAGGTACTTGGAGAAAACAAGCTTGAAATTGTAAAATTCCAGAAAATTGTGGTAATTCACAGACTTTTCCTTGACATTTCCAGACCGAATTTCCTGACAATTGTCGGTTTTCCAGATTTCCCTCACGACTGGACACCCTGCCCTGTCATTGAAAGAGCCAATATTTGAGAGATGAATGGAGGGAATACTATTTTTTGAAGGGCGAACTTTCCAGTTGAAATGTGGACAGTATTGATTACATGAGTTGAGATGTCATGCGATATATTATCCTTACATTTTCATCAGGAGCCTGAGGAGTATCCTTTAACACTTCGTTCATGGTGTCTATGTTATCTTTTTCAATATCTACGTCCATTATCCCTGATAGTCGCTAAATATCAACCTGAACAAAAAAATCAGAATTTATTATTCACCAATAATAGCCAATTATTCAGGTTAAATTTCTCTCGTCAAAATCCTGTCGTATACCTTCTCCAAAATGTTTTTCAGTGTTCTTTTTCGGATGTGGAGGTTATGCGGCACAAAACGTAACGAACCCACTCGTATGCTGTTGAATCACAGAGAAAGATTAGTTTCTTTGTTCAAAGAATTATGTAGATAACAATCGGCTATTCATTCAACGGATTTCCGAGACGAATCAACACTTTTTTTCTCCAATTATTCAAAATTTTCATTATACTTTCATAGGACACACATTTAAGGTTAATATACACTGCTCAACATAATACTGCCTAGAAACGGTCGTGGCGTACTGCCGCCGGTTTAGGTTGGGTATGAATTTTGAAATGAAATTGTTGAACAAAAATATAGGCTTTTCGACGAACGGAGACCGTGGACCTATCCAAACGACTAGAACACATAAACTTGACATATTAGGGATGATCTGTGTTTTCCTCCCCTAGGCAGTGCATACAAATTTTAGCAGAAAATTGTATGAACATTAAACATTCACATGTTTTTTAGCTGATTTATTTCACATAATTAAATCATATAATAGATAGGCACGCATGAAAAAATTCAATAGAAACCCTAGCGAATTCGCTAGAAAATTCTATGAGATTTCTATAGGATTTCTATTGAAAAATTCTCCTTGTTTGTAGCGCTGATTCTATTGCATATTTGTAGAAAAAAGTCAATATATTTTGAATTTCTGTTTGAATTTTTCTCTTGAGATTTTTTCTATTAGAACTATTTGCTACAAATTTTCTACTTTTTTTTTCCGCTAGATTTTCTTGTTGTTTAGCGTTACAGAATCCGAGTGAAAAAAACTTAGAAAATTGATGTCCAAGCACTCTTATAGAAAAAATCGGAAGAGAAAAATTCAAACAGAAATTCGAAAACTATTGACTTTTTCTTATCGAATATCTAATAGGATCAGCGCAAAAAACAAGTAGATTTTTTCAATAAAATTCCAATAGAAATCCTATAGAAACCCCATCGAATTCGAATAGAATTTTCTGGCTAATTCACTAGGTTTTCTATTGAATTTTTTCATACCTGGAAGAGTGGAGTAAAATCGGAAAACGACTGTTTGACGCAAGTCAACCGAAAAAAAATTTTTTTTGACCATTTTTTAAAATGAACTTTTGTTTATTAATTTGTTTTCTATTATTGGGACTACCGATGGGCATAACAAAGAAAATGCAACAGCAAAATCCAAACTCAAGAGGTTGACCCAGGAGAAGATCGAAAGGGGGAAAAAGAAAAATGTGATACTGAATTTCAATCCAATGAAAAAAGAAAAGTGTAATCATCCTAATTTAATCAACTGAATCATAGATGAAATATTTCATATGACATGAAAAGAGAACTGTGGATAAAATTAGTGAAAACTATTAATATTGCCGTCTCGATATAAGAAAGGTATGAAAAACCGTCGGGGTTTTCGAATGAGAAGAGAATATAGACTCAGCGATGACGATGTCATAGTTTGGCTGCTGGAGAGACAAGGGACAAGCTAACTAATGGACGTAGATATCGAGATCTAACAGGCGAGTGGGATTCATCTGTAGAGGTAGTCGCTACGCTATATAGAGGTTTTGAATATCAGTGATTATTTTACACCGCATGTTCACTTCTACCGAATATAGAATTATTATTCTCATCATCAACACTCCCAATAATAGAAAAGGTTCATCAACAAATATTAATATCAAAAAAGTTGATAGAAAAAAATTTTTTTGCATGAATTGCATCAAGTAGTCATTTTTCGGCGTTTCTTTTTGCCCCGCTCTTCCCTACACGGAGAGAAATGTTCAGTAAAAATTACGGAACTCACAACTCGCTCACCGATTACGGAATCGACTCAGAAAATTTAAGTGACGGTATCGTAATTCTTCACAAGAGATTCAGATAAAAATTACAGAACGCTCTGAAAAAATTCCGTGACAGTTCCGTAAAATTTCCTACAACCACATTTCGTTCCGGAATTACGAAAAAGATACGTAATTTTTATTAAATATTTCTCTCCGTGTATATATCTCAAAATTCGAAATTTTTTCGAGAATGACGGCAAAACAGCGGCAGTTCTCACATCAAGTCGATATTTCAGTTGGTACTGATTTCTAGTGCAACATAATTATCTAAAAATTGAAACACTTGGTTATTCTTCCGTTAGTTGTTTTCAGAAAATCTCGGTAAACGAGGCTGACATACGATCATGTTTTTTTCTCACATTTTATAACAGTTATAAATTGTGAGCCTAGGATTCTCATATTAAATTCCACCGAAATTAATAATTAAACCAAGTGCTATCGATAGGATATTCTATTCAAACCCTAAATGGATTTTATTGGAATTCTGTTAGAACTCTATTAAAGTTCATTCGGAAATTTGATTCGTTTCTTCTGTGTATTGAAATTCTCTGGCAAATAGTTGAAACAAAAAAGTCAACAGATTGTGAATTGTCTTTATGACTTACTCTCTTGATATTTTTTCTATAGAGTTTCTAGGGCGCAAAAAGTTTTTTACACCATATTTTGTCTCGGTTATCGTCACGAAATTCAAAAAGAGAATCTTAGAAGGCCCACGGCTGAGAGTTATTACAGGCAAAATTTTAACAGTATAGGTTGCATAGAAAAATGAACATTTATTGACCTTTTTCTGTCAAAAATCTAGTGGAAATTGCTCAAGAATTGTGTACATTATAAAATTTTGAAAAGAAATCAACAAATAAAATAACGTTCCCATATCATTTCCGAGACTTCTAGCCCAGTTGCAATCGAATATCAGTAGAAGTTCAATGGAATTTCAATAGGATTCCTATAGGTTTCCAAACTCTGGTTCAATTCTTCCGAATGCCGAAGAATAGAATCAGGTCATCTACAATTTATTCTACAGACATTGGAGATTTGAAATGGTCCTTCATGCTGCACCTTTTTTTTACTGAAATTTAAGAGACTTTTTTTGAAGCAAATGTTGTGGACTCAGAAATCAAAACTCTTAGTATGTCTACGAAACTTACAAGGTAATTTAAAATATATTTCCAAAATAACCTGTAAGAGATTCTTTACTCCATCTCCAGGCGAATTTGCTTTCCATATCCACTGAGAGCGTTTTTCATACTTATTATGAATAATAGATTTAGACTTTTAGTTTTTGATTTGTAATTTTTAGAAAAGTAATTGAATCAATATTGAAACTTCTTTTAAAAAATTTTGGAAGGAAAAAGTAAATAGTAGGAACGAAAATAGGAATAAATAGATTGTTGTTTAACACATGCGTGCAGTTCAGAAAATGATAAAATTTTGGAAGTCTCTCAAAATGAATTCCTAGGATTGAATCTACAAACTAAACCGGGAGAATTTTCCACTTTCCTACTCAGTATTATTTCTCAAAATATTACTTCGAACACACATTTTTGTAATCTGATCAAATTTCCCAATACAATTACTGACGTTACGTCGTAATATTGAACTAACGAATAAAACATAACAGCTATAGTAAATGAATAGATACATACCAATATTAATGAGTTCTCAATTAAAAAAAAACTCAAGGAAATTGGACAAGCTATTCTGCAACAATTGAGAGCGTAGCACGAAGTGAGAAGCAATACAACACGAAAAAGCACGGAACGTTGGTTATTTTTAGAGTCTAGCCGAACTGAGATTCGTCGTCTCTAAACGCAACTATCGACTCGACAACTCGTTACCATCAAATTTATTCTCAATGGATGTATTCCAGTAGCCACGTTTCAAACCACATTGCTACTATGAATTGATATTGTATACATGAATTGTCATTAATGAAATGAAAATTATGTGCACACAATACAAGAATCTTCCCGATTCAAAATTCATTATTGCACCGTACTTTCATACTAAATCCGTGTATTTTTGTATCGCCCCGTGTTATTAAAAAGAGTATATTTATATTTGTACGTTGGAAAATGTGACGATTTGTTCATGCGCAAGCGAACTTCATTAGGGGTATTATGGCAGGATCAGGAGAATTTGAAAAATGCAGAGAATTGAATGAAAATTTTTTAACACATTTTTCAATCCCTTTAAGAACTGGGTGCAAAATTTCAAGAGCCCCATGTGTACAATAACACCGGAAATAATTTATAAAGCTACTACTTATACACGCGGTTGAATGGGGCATCGATAATTTCAGCTTTTTCCCTACGTTATCCCTCAAGGGATAACGTGGGGAAGATGCTGAACTTATGAATGCTTCATTCGACCACGTGCATAAGTAGCAAATTCCGATTTTTTTCCATTGTTATTGTGTACATGAGGTTCTTGATATTTGCCATCCGATTTTTCAATAGGTTAAATAATATGTTGAAAATTTTTCATTTAATTCTTTGCTTTTGTGGACCCCGCTAGAGTACCCTTAAAGTAGTATGAATGAACTCCAGTTGAGCCATTGAGTATAACGACAAAAAATAAATTCAAAAAGCTAAAAAATATTATTCATCATCGACAATTTTTCCTGTGAATTCTAACTTTGATGAGTGTAAGAAATCTCTCATTTGACTAGGATGTTTCGACATAACACGCCATTTTGGACACGCAGAAACCTAAATTACTTATTACAAAAGTTTGACACTGACGATCATTTACATGTTAAGCACAGAATTTTTATTAATTTTTTCAGGTTTTTTGAGATTTTTCTAAATTTTAATCTTCACCCTAACCTCGAAAAGTTCATTCCCTCAAATGATTGGAATTTTTCTGGCCCCTCATCCTCTATCGTATGTCTTTGCAGTTTTTCATCTGTTCGACGGTAGCTTTTTCTTCTCTGCATCCTGGCCTCTCGTAGCAGCATATTCCCAGTGCCATACATTTTGTCTCGTGGTCCCGCCGATTATTCAGCTTGCCCCAAGCCTACCTCGCGTCGCCATTTCCATCTAACGACCTATGTTTACACTATTTTAATGACATTGCCTGACAGATCGATTAATGGTTACTTGATAGTGGCTCAACAGAAGGTCGACTTGTTCACTTGGTCGATGGCCGGTGATCGCTGGTTGATCACTAGTAGAGGTTTAGTCGATCGTTGGTCGATCGTTAGTTCATCGATGGTTAATCGTTGGTTGATCGATGGTCAATAAACCGAATCGTGATGGACTAGCAATCGACTGTTAAGGATGTTTAACCTATCAAGTGAGCAACTCCGTTGAAAACAAAAATAAAATTGACCGAATAAATAATTCATGTTGCAAATTATTTTTCTTATCAAATTAGAAGTTACATGGCATACTTTTCCGTTCTCAAAAATAATAATTAAAGAAAAAGTTAATAAATACTGGAGGACTTGTGACTACGGTGGTAACGTCAAATTTTAATCGGGCAACATTGCACGCTTCGACTAGTGGTGAGGTCGTAACAGCGAGATGGATGTTTGTGTAGGTTATACGTGTCCATATGCTTCCAGCACTAAATTGTCGTCACCGACTTTGCCGACCTCAATCAGCTGTTGTGTGGTGTTGTCCCGTTACTCGACTCGTCATGGCGGTCCAATTTTTTTTTAGAGGAATTCGAAAATCAATTGAAGTGATGGCGTTTATATGGCCCGGTCCCCTACTTTTTCTCGCCGGCGATAGATTCTCCATAGTCTAAAGTAAATGGCTTGTGTTTTTTTTTCAATATCTTGAGTGTCTAACCCATGGAACATTTCGATCCAAGTTCACACGGTCACGTTTCTTCCATAAGCGTAATGTTACAAGGAGTGATTTTCCGAAATTAATTTCTCATTAGGATGCCCCGATGGAAGGATTAAGATTATTGCTAACGTGTGGCTCGAATATGAACCTGACATGTGAAGCAATATCAAAGTTATGGTGAATAGTGCGGGTTTTGGCGAAACATCCTTAAGGAAAAACCCGCTGATGTTGGATACCGACAGCATGCAGTCCTCATGTATTTGAAGGGTGTCACTAGTGGTGTCCCTCACCAAAGACCCAGGAACAGATTTCCAAAAATAAGGGAGAAGTTTTGTCTGAAAGATTTGGACATAACATATGTGGACGTCCGCATGAAAAGGGACCACTTTAGCACTATTGGACTTATTCATATGGGCGTATTTCTGGTTAAATTTGGAACATTTTGAGAGGTCACACGTCTCGCTAGATGAAAAAACCGTGAAGTTATAGAGCTCCAAAGTTGGAAATGGGAAAAACATAGTTTTGAGAAAAACGAGATCTACGTTCGAGGTACTATTATTACTAGTTCCACTCGGAAGTTAAACAGATGATGGTTTGAATACATAAAACATACCTTTGGGCACACAAACCACCGTGTATTACGTTTAATTCATCTCTTATTCATGAAATAAAGAAGATCCGACAAAGTGGTCTCTTTTCTTTAAAATTGGATTTTCAAAAAATTAATCGGATTTTAAAAGAAAAACATGACTGTGTCGAATTATTTGACTAAAAAAAAATATAGCCTGCGTTTGAAAGAATTTATTGTCCCTTCTTTCAGGGACTATACTGTTTTATTGTCGTTGACAACACAAATAAAACTGTTTTATTGTGACTGTCATGATGGTTTCCGCCAATTATAGGTATGGTTTTGTACCTTCAAAATTTTCATTTTTTTGAGGCTTCTCCCATAGTTTTACTATCATCAAAAAGACCTAAAAAATTTCAATTCAATTTTTTTTTCAATTTTATTATGTTTACCACGTCAAATTTCCGTTTTTCGAGTTCTTGACGAAATTTTTGGTTAATTATTATTTTTTTAATTGTCAATATGTATTTCCAACTGAAATTTTCTATTCTTCCGATCGAATATGGTTTCAATTAGCTCACTTCATCAAAAATGACTTGAATTGGCAAAAAAAAGTTGAAAATTGCAGATTGGATCCCCTTTCCCCACTCAGATTGCAGACAATTTTCATTTCCTTACTCAAAGTAACAGTTTTTATGGAACATATTAAAAAATCCAAGTGGGTTCTCACTCCGTTCTATCCAAAAAATAATTGTTTTCAAGTCTTTGTTTTGATTTTTTTTTTGATTTTTCAATTTTTTGTGTCGAAATTTCAATTTGTATTTACTGGAAATACTGAATTTTCACATTAAAAAAATGGAAGAAATAGAAAATGAAAAGAATTTGCAGAAACCGAACTGAGAAAAGAATATTTTTTGGATAGAACGGAGTGAGATCCCACTCTGATTTTTCAAGATGTTTCGTAAAAACAGTCAATGGGGGTCAAAAATTGCAGCCAGAACTAAAGGTTAATGCTGAGGGTCACAAGGGTCAAGAATAAGGGTCAGAAATAAGAGTAAGAAATTAGGGTCAGAAGCAAGGGCCAGAAATAAGGGCCTGATCTGCGTAGGAATATCCATTCGGAAGCAAATTTCTAATTCATCAGTAAAAATGAGCCACCCAGTTATAAAAAAAATAATAATTGTCCACTTGTTATGATAAAAATCACTAAATTTATGTGTGATAATGTGTTCCCATCTCCTGATGTATCATAGAATGGGATAAACTGTTGAAAAATGGTCCAAACAAAGTGGTCCCTTTTCTTTTTTCTCAAAAAAATCGAAAAAATACTTGTAATAGAGATAGAGCCATTTAATTTGCGTGATTCGACGTGGGAGGACCTGCAGTTCATTCCTAAGCAATAAAAAAAAAAGACGAATCGGAACCGTAATCAGAAAACTGCGATTATTCCGAAAACTAAATTCGACAAAGTGGTCCCTTTTCATGCGGACGTCCACATATGTATAAGCTCTCAGCACTTAGTTTTCGAAATGGCGCTTTAGCCGAGTGGTAGCGCGTTCGTCTACCAACCCGGCGATCCGAGTTCAAAATTTTTCTCTGCTAACAGGGGAGAGTGCGGCAAAATGAAACAGCCAAAAAAACGACTGCTTCACGCAATTCAAGCAAAAGAAGAAATTTTTATTAAATTTTTTTTTTATTACATTTTTTATATTCCTGGAAGTACTGATGAGAATAATAATTTTCCATTCAGTAGAATCGAAATAGTATTTATCCGGGCTGTTGCGATGGGGTTTTTTTTACTCGTGTGGCGTTGGCGTTTGAGCCGAACCCCATCGCAGCAGCCCGGGACAAAATTTTTTTTGTAGTTATTTTCAAGTTTTCGAGTTTGGCAAGTATGCAATACCAATTCCCAGATGAGAAATCGTGAGAAGTAGTACAAAAAATTATTTTTTAACTTTTTACGGGCGAAGATTTTGTCAATGGATTAATTAAAAAGAAAATGAAACAGCAAAATCCAAAGTCCATAGCAAGGCCCAGGAGGAGAGCCAGAGGTGGAAAAAATAAAATGTGATGGTGAATTTCAAACGAATAATCCATTGACAAAATCTTCGCCCATGAAAACTTCTCAATAATTTTCCATTCTACTGAATGGAAAATTATGATTCTCATCAGAACTCCCAAGAATAAAAAAAAGTTGACAAAAAAAATTAATAAACAATTTTCTTTATTTAATTGCGTCAAACAGCCGTTTTTTTTATTTCTTCATTTTGGCCCACTCTCCCCTATATTGTTATTTTTATTCTTAAATTCAACAGGAAATCTTCATTTCATGAGAATTTGATAACTAGAAATATGATAGAGGGATTTATTCAATTGAAGGTTATGACATAATTGAATGCTGTAAAAGATATTCAGGTGAAATAATTTTTTTATTGGTCTTCCATAGGTTCAGGTTCCGGTATACAATTGTTCGGGTGATAATTATCATAGAAACATACAAAAGATTAATTTATGTGACATCAGCTGCAACAAACGAAAGCAGTCTCGTTGCAAGCACAGAGGGTTGCAGAGGGTTGGGGGTTGCAGGGGGGGTTGCAGTTTTCGAATGGGAAACATACTTCGTTTACATTTGAAAAAATATGTCTTTTGTCGGTCAATTTTGATGCAAACCACACG